GCCCGCTCGGAATGGTCTCCAATTCCCTTCCACTTTAGGCTATCGACGCTCACCAAGTGGGAAGCGAGGCAAGCCACGACCATGGACCCCACCACTCTCCGAAACGGAAGGTGCTGAGGTCGTGAGGAATCCAATGATGCTCAGGCGGGTGTGCCCTCGGTAGAAGCCTTGGGCGCCACGTGCGCTTGAGGTATTGATGGCTCAGATTTTTGCAATTCACATTCAGTATTGCATTTCGCTGCACTCTTCATGGTTGCGAGGGCCAAGATATTCGTTTGCCGAGAGTTTTACAATATGGTGCCGTTCCGACAAGACCGACCCCTCGACCGGAACAGAGGGGGGCCGTCAACCCGGACAGCGACAAATCAGAGCAGGCACATCAATACGAACTTGCAAAGTGGTCGCCACCAGCCACTGCCACGGGCCCGCCCGACCCCCCGTTCGGGGGGCTAGGCAGGGCACCGGGGAGCAGCGGGGCAACGAGGGTGCAAGCGCTGGTTCCTCGCCCCCCCCACTCGACACCACCCCGTTCACGACCAAAACCCTCCCCCAACGGCCCTCCACCTCGGGATTCAGACTACCTCGACTGTGTCGAGGACGMCGATCTGTCCGGAAAGGAGAACCCCGTTGGGAAGGAAGGCAGGGCGAAGCGGGGAGGGGCCAAGGACCCCGCAACACACCCCATGCCTAGCCTCTACCACGACCCTCGATCCCCAAACAAGCCACAAGCTTCGCACGAAGCTGAGGTTGACCCCGTGATGGAAAGGAGGGGAGGGGGGGTACGCAGGCCGAGAACAGCCGCCACCACCCGACATCCCGCCCCTGACCCTCCCGCAGGGCTGTCCGTGCCCGGACCAACCGTCATCCCGACCAGAAGTCGAGAGTGGGGTTGGGCCGAGGTAACAACCTGCGGAGGCGAGACGGGATGAAGGGGGAGTACGCCACAACGCCCCGGACCTTGCCTACTCCCCCCGCCCTCCACCACGCCCCCCTCTGCGCCGGGCCAGCCACCAGCTGGGCACTAAGCCCAAGATGGTGTTGAATCGGAAGAGAAGAGCGGATGCAGGGAGGATGGGGGCAAAGGGCGGCGGAAGGGCGAGCAAGCCAGCTTCCCACACCCTGAAGATCGGTCGTCCACGTGTCAATGATCCTTCCACAGGTTCACCTACGGAAACCTTGTTACGACTTBTCCTTCCTCTAAATGATAAGGTTCAATGAACTTCTCACAGCACCTCCAGCGGCAAACCGTCGAGATCACAGCAATCCAGACACTTCACCGGACCATTCAATCGGTAGGAGCGACAGGCGGTGTGTACAAAGGGCAGGGACGTAATCAGCGCGAGCTGATGACTCGCGCTTACTAGGCATTCCTCGTTCAAGATTGATAATTACAACAATCTATCCCCGTCATGATGAACCTTAAGAAGGTTACCCRGGCCTTTCGACCCAGGCAAGCGACTCGTTGGATTCATCAGTGTAGCGCGCGTGCGGCCTAGAACATCTAAGGGCATCACATACCTGTTATTGCCTCAAACTTYCGTTGGCTAGTCGTCCAACAGTCCCTCTAAGAAGCTGGCCACGAGGAAAGGTCCCCGCGTAGCTATTTAGCAGGCTGAGGTTTCGTTCGTTAACAGAATTAACCAGACAAATCACTCCACCAACTAAGAACGGCCATGCACCACCATCCATAGAGTCAAGAAAAAACTCTCAATCTGTCAATCCTTGCTATGTCTGGACCTGGTGACTTTCCCCGTGTTTGGTCAAATTAGGCCGCAGGCTCCACGCCTGGTGGTGCCCTTCCGTCAATTCCTTTAAGTTTCAGCCTTGCGACCATACTCCCCCGGAACCCGTAAACTTTGATTTCTCACAAGGTGCTGGCAGAGTCATCCAGTAGACATCCGCCAATCCCTAGTCGGCATCGTTTATGGTTGAGACTAGGACGGTATCTGATCGTCTTCGATCCCCCAACTTTCGTTCTTGATTAATGAGAACGTCCTTGGCAAATGCTTTCGCAGAAGTTTGCATCCATAAATCCAAGAATTTCACCTCTGACAATGGAATATGAATGCCCCCAACTGTCTCTATTAATCATTACTCCAATCCGGAAGACCAACGAAATAGGACAAGAGTCCTATCGCGTTATTCCATGCTAATATGTTCAGAGCACATGCCTGCTTTGAACACTCTAATTTTTTCAAAGTAACAGCGTCGGTTCTGGATCCCAGCCAATAAAGGCAAGGAACGCATACCTGGCAAGAAAGGCGAAAGGGCCGGTACACGCCCGCAAGAGCGGACCAACCCCTCCCACCCAAAATCCAACTACGAGCTTTTTAACTACAACAACTTGAATATACGCTATTGGAGCTGGAATTACCACGACTGCTGGCGCCAGACTTGCCCTCCAATGGATCCTCGTTGAAGGATTTACGATTGTTCTCATTCCAATTACCGGACTCGAAAGAGCCCAGTATTGTTATTTATTGTCACTACCTCCCTATCTCAGGATTGGGTAATGTACGCGCCTGCTGCCTTCCTTGGATGTGGTAGCCATCTCTCAGGCTCCCTCTCCGGAATCGAACCCTAATTCTCAGTCACCCGTTATTCATGGTAGGCCTCTATCCTACCATCGAAAGTTGATAGGGCAGAAATTTGAATGGAACATCGCCGGCTCAAAGGCCATGCGATTCGACAAGTCACCATGATTCGCCGCAACAACG